GTATAGTTTCATATACTTCCGAGCTAATATGTTTCCGTGTTATATCGTGATATTACGTGCCATAATTTCTTATAGGGCTGAAAAGCGAAGAAATAATTGAATGCATATTATCTAATTCCACATTGTTTAAGATTGTCTAAACAATGCTGGCGAAATATTAAAACTGTTATGTATTCTTCGATGTCAGGGCATGTATTTTCAAAGAAGGACGAATTTAAAGATGACAAGCTTAAAGGCATCAGATTCAAAGGTATATGCACAGAAAATTAGCAATAATAATACCCCGATCACTATATCAAGATCACGGGGTATTAATTAATAATACCCTGACCGTATGTAATCAGCGGAAACTTCGTTTCCGCTAATCCCCAACGGATCAGGGTATTATTATTACTAATATCCCGATCCATCAAAATTAGCGTAAATGAGGCATCTGTTTGTTCACATGGAACAGGATATTATTCATTAATCGCCTGTGATTTTGGCATAGTGGTCGGGTATTGTTCGTATTTACAAAACCTTGAATTTTTTGAAATCAATTTTTTTTCTTCTTTCAAGATCGGTCAAAAACGATAATTATTTATCGTACATCACAAACTACCATACTCAGCCCCGACGATTCCAAAAAAGGCTATATAAATACCGCTGTATTACATTTTCGCCAATTTTGGAAAGAGGTCAATTTTTATCAAACAATAAATATCTGTATTTGTCCCTTTTTTCTATTAAAAAATAATTTCATCAAATTTTGCGTACCGAATATAAGTTTTCCCATACTTATGTTTAAGGCTACAAATTTTTCTATAATAATATTACATCATTGATCATTGATGTCTTTTCCACGCCAACAGCGACGAGGCTTTTATGTGACTAAGGCATGTACAAATTGCAAGCAAAAACACGCTAAGTGTTCTGGAAGAGCAACTTGTGAACGTTGTACACTACGTAATCTTGAGTGTACTTTTATTGAATCAGGTAAAAAGCGTGGACCTAAAACGAATCGTAAACACCTAGAACAGATCTATATTCTTAACGGTCCTGAAAATGACTTTAATGGAACGTCGGTGCCATCTTTCGTAATCCCTGATGCCGTGCAAGGTCATGCATCAACTCTATCATTTTCTGAATATCAACAACCAGGTAATATTAATGAAGGTACTTTTTATTCTGACTCCTATGATGAAAAAACCACCCATGCTTTTCAAGAAGCCGGCTATCAAGAAGCCGGCTATCAAGAAGCCGGTTATCAAGAAGCCGGTCCCTTTTCTTATCAAACACAAATTGGTACCGAATACATACAAAACGATAATCTTATAAATAACACACTCATGAACAATAATATTTTCTTCTCATATGATGATTTATTCTCTGAACATAACTTCATATTGTCGTTACATAAGTAAAAACCGTGATTTGACATTTCACTAAAGTTATTAAGTCCTTTATTCTTATATTTGCTTATTATCTATTTATAGTTTAACGACTTTAAGAATAAATTATTATCTGTAATTACAATAGCATTTATTTAAGCGTATATAGAAAAAGACAGTTCAGTTCTAAGAAATAAATGTTGTGTATAAGATGCTTTTATTATTATTATTAAAATTACTACCTATTACCATACGTTAGCTGATATCTTTAAAGAATTGATAAATATTCATTATACCATTTCCATTGCGTGATCATCACGGATTTACTTATTTCTGTAAGTGATACAAATCATGCGACTATAATAAATATTTGGGGCAAAACGTAGCATAGTGAGATTGATTACTTACACAAAATGATAAAAAATTAGGGCCTGTCTAATCATAACACGTGCTTATAATAAAAATATTAATAATGATTAAAAATATTCGTATTTTGATTGATATCACACTATGTTACAATTAGACATGCCCTAATTT